CGAATGGGGGTATTTGTGAAAGACTTACCTCACGATCCACTAAATAATAACTAATCTCACACAGAACAGGGCATAAAAACCTTAATCATATAAAATCCGACATAATTATAAAAAACTAAAAAATCATATATTTAATACACACAACAGAAGGAATAAAAAATTGAGAGACTCCACCCGACGAATTTCAAGGAGAGTTTATTGACTTTAAAAAGACAAACATTGAGTCGATAACTTTCCCAAATGAGTGGTTATTCACCAAAAAAAAAGAGACAATTCCCATATAGTGGTCCGGACTGATTGGAACAGGGCCTTCGTTTCAGAATACAGAAGGCAAGAAAGGAGAAGGAACAGGACCTGCGTGTTTGTGAAATCAGGATGGAGAATGGTTAAAGAGTTCCGTCCCTCTCATTCAATGGGTATGGAGAATAAAGGCGCCTGCGAATTGTAAGTATCAATTTCCTATATAAAAATCAATTGAAATGTTTTATCACAAACCTACATAATTTGTGGGAATCCTCACAATACTAATATAATATATATATATATATATTATATTTAGAAATTAAAGTGGTGAAAAAGTGTGAATAAGAAATCAAAAAAATAAAAAAATAATTCCTATTCTATAAGGAGTAATAAGAAAAAAATTCATTTTGATACTTTTTACTATAGATCGTTTTATTAATTAATTATTGATTGCTGGTGTTTCTAATAAAGTCTTGAGTACATAATATTTTGATACACACCCAACTACTGAAAAAAATGATAAAAACTTAGAATAAAGAAATGCATTAATATTGTGAACTTAAATTTTTATAATATACCAATTATGTAAACAAAAAATTAACCAAATTAAAAATATTTACTAAAATACTTAACCTAACACACACATTGAATAAAGTCATTTGTTACGTGTGGTAACTAGATATATTACATTATTTGTAAATTTTACGAGTCACTTCACTATCAAGCTGTTTGGGTAACCATTTCGTTTTCAGTTTCAATTTTATATTTACAAATAAATTTTATACAAAACTGCTAAAGTAATTGTGTCTGAATTTTTTTAACGGTTATAATTAAATGATGGTCTAAGTGTGAAAAATAAAATTTGAGATGGAAAAATATATAAATTCAAAAAAATGAGCTTACTTTGGTTTTTAAACAGGAATTAAAAATATTTACTAACAAAAATTTTTTTTCCAAATTAATTTTTTTTCATAAATAATTTTTTTATCAATAATTTTTTTTCAAAATGAGAATTTTTTCCCAACTGATACCAAAACCCAGGGAATAAACCAATTTGTATGCTAACTTATAAACCCTTAGGAAAAAGGGATGTAAATTTTCCAAATGTGGAGAGAGTTCTATGTGTCCCATAAATTTTCAATGAAATCTTTAACCCCCCACCAAATAACGGAGGGAGAAAAATTAGTTATTAAAAAAAATTTAAAATTGCTAAAAGGGGAAAATCTCGTATAATAAACCTGAAACCCCCTCGTGGGGAAATTTAATTTCCAATGGAATTGTTAAGGAAGCAAAGAGCATGAGCTAATGACCTACCACATCCAACCTTATCATCAAAGCAAAAACAACAATCCTCAAGTGGAATTTGAATGGGTAATTTCGGTTCCCACTAGTCATAACCAGCTAATTTGAATCTTTCTGGTCAGCGAGCATGTCAACTGTAGACTAGTCAGCTGCCTAACTCACTTAGGTTTGGTTTGCCTCCCAAAAGAGGGCTTAGTTAGCGTATCTAACTTTGATATCTAAAATAATATTGTATCTGAGCGCAGAAATAATTATAGCCTCATTTATGAAAAAAAATAATCCCTGAAAAAAAAATTAAGTCCTATACTCTGCTTCCAAATCACAATTTTTAGTGACTAAAAAATAATTAGTAGCCAAAAGTATAGAATTGGCTACTAAAAAATATGTTTAGTTGCCAAAAGTGATTATTTTTAGCGCGGGAGAACTAAAATGCTAAGGCGGGAATTAAATTTTTTGGCGACCAAAATTTTGGTAGCTGAAAGTGCATCTTCGATGACCAAATTCGATTTTGGTCAGCAAAAGTTAAGTTTTTTAGCAACTAAAAAATAATTAGTAGCCAAAAGTATAGAATTGGTGACCAAAAAATATTTTTAGTACCCAAAAGTGGTCTTTTTTTATTTTACTAGTAAATAGTTTATTTTACATAAATTATGTTCAATAAAATAATTATGTTTATACATATACTTTTATATTAATATAGATGTATGTACTATATAAATAATATATGTTGCATATATAATCATATGGTGCTATAGAGGTGTAGTGGGAAGAGTGTGGTGTATAAGGTTTATGGTGCGGGAGGTTGGCGATTCGAGTCTCTGCAAGAGCGGATCAAATTGTTCTACAACGAATTATCGTCACGAATGGCACTTGATAGCGTCACGAATAGTGCCTACCATGACATTAAAGTGTCACTAGAAGGTTTTAGTCTTAATGATGTAATGACACTTATAAGTGTCACTAACTCTTTTTTTAATGGCGCTTGATAGTGCCACAAATAATATCTACCATGACATTAAAATGTCATTGAAAGTTTTTAGCCATGATGGTGCAGTGACACTTGCAAGTATCTACCGTGGCACTCGTATCTACCGTGACACCAATAGAAGTGGCACTTGTTCAAAATGCCACAAGACCAAAAAATGTCATTAGAAGAATAGTTTTGTGGCACTTTCAAATGTCACTAAACTAAGAAAATGTTGTAGTGTGGGCAACCAAATAGATTTTTAGTTGCCAAAACCTATAACTTTGGCACTGATTTTTTTTAGTCACCAAAACCTATACTTTCAGCAACCAAAGGTGCTTTTTTAGTCGCCAAAGATATTTTTTCTTACAGTGGAAATTAATCCTGTTTTCAGTTCATCTTAATCACCCGCAAGATCAGTCTGTTCTATCCACCTAGTTTAAGTCACCCACTTCTTCCCAGTCTTCTGTAAGTCCTTCGGTTTAGGCAGAGTCAGACTTTGGGGTTTAAAGATAGGGTATGCAACAAGTTAAAGCTAAACATCAACGACCCGTAGGCTTACTGCAGCCCTTACCCATACCGAAGTGGAAATGAGAACATATCACTATGGATTTCATTGTTGGTTTACCTCGCTCTAGTAAATTGGATCTGTTGGTCTGATGATGGATTGCTTCTATGGACTCATAGGCTTATCTGTTTTGTTTGTTGTCTTGTGGTTGACTCTGTCTTGTGCTATGGGCTGCTATGGACTCATAGGTTTATCTGTGGTGTGGTTAAATCTGCTATGAACTCATAGCAATAGGAATAATGTCTAGAATGTTGTCTGGGTCTGCAGCTCTCTGGACTGCTGTCTTTGGTGGTGGATGTCTCTATGGTTGATTCTGCTGTGGAGGTGAGTAGTCATGGTGCTCTGTCAAAGTCAAAGGTTTTTGAAGTAGTCATGGTGTTCTGTCTTTTGCTCTAGCAAAGGAGTGTTTTTGTTGTTTTATTGTCTTTGTTTTTGTTTTGTTTTGTTTTGCTCTGCATGTTGGTTTCTCACCAACTTGGAGCTTCGAGTGTGTGCTAGCAGATGATTTGATGTGCATCTAGGTGCCAACCTAGTTGGGATGCTTTTTGCACCCTCTTCTTTATTGATGTATGTTTTCATACTCATTATGTTTTTCCATCAATAAAGCTTCTTTTAGTTGGGATGTTTTTTGCACCATCTTCTTTATTGATGCATGTTTTCATACTCATTATGTTTTTCCAACAATAAAGCTTCTTTTTCGCTGATAAAAAAAAAAAAAATATGGACATGACAACAAATAATTATATATTTCTATATGATTACATAAAAATAATGACTATTTCTTCATTTTTTACATTACAATTTATATTTTACAATATCAAAATAGAAATCATTTTTTACATTCCACATATTAGAAAGGAAGTGTGAACTAAAAGTCCTAATATCCATTCATCTCTATTCATGAACAAATTGGAATCTTTGGATTTTAAAATTCCTTAAATTTAAAAGTCTCAAGGAGAAACTAATAGGTATAAATTCACATTGTTTCTATTTTATCATTGGATCCCAAATTATTTTTTTCAAACTTGCAATGTGTTTCATCTGTCTTCTCATGTCCCAATGTGTATCCTACTTAATCATGCTTCATGCTTCTGTTTGTTGAACTATTTTTAAAAGCGAAAGGCACGCAGAGGCGAGGTACATGAGTCGTGCGCCTCATCAAAGCAAGGCACAAGTTATAAAATATTATTGGTTCATCTGCGCCTTATGATCACTTCAGAAGATCCAAATGTGCCTGACCTGTGCCTTGCCTCGTGCTTTAGCAGGCGCCTTTGCATGCTTTACAACACTGATCTGTTTGATGATTTGAACAGTGTACTTGTTATAGATGTATTAACATGGTATGAACTAGAGGTGTGGCGCACACAAGCTTATCACCTAGATCTAGCCCGCCCTTAATACTTGACTTTTACTCCCTTCAACTTATCATGTCTCTAAAATTAGTATTTGTGGTTAATGTAACCCAATTCTACCTTCTAGTCCATTCAATTAAAATCTCCAATATGTATCTAATTGACATTCTCTGTATTTAATTTGGAATTAAGAACCTTGCTGGTTTGTTACAAATAAATGCAGCAAAGTCTATGACTCCCAAGCTCTATTTGTCAAATAGTGCAGAGTATCTTCTATTTTTGTCAGGAAAATATTATAGATAAATAAGACTTGAATTCTTAGCCCATATCCCCAAATGGTGGCTTTCATGTCTGGGATTTTTGTTTTTAGCAGTTGTTCTCTTCTTATTGTGCTGGTGATTATTTAGAAAAACTTTTACATCAATGAGCTAATGTGTCCCGACTAATTTCATCCAAATCTTTTCGTTGTTGTCTTTTGAACATGTTTGCCTAGGGCATTTGGTATTGACCTCTTGTAGCTGAACTTGTTATATCATGTCTGCATACAGGAAGATAGTGAGAAAACTGGCAAAGTGACATCTGCAGGGATGTATTTCTTACATTTTCAAGTGTACAGAATGGATTCAACCTTGAATGCGGTATGTGAGTTCCATTATTGGTTTCCATTTTTCTCTGAAAATATTTCACAATGTTATGGCTTAATACATGATGAATTTGTCAAATCTGGTGGCGCAGTTGGCAATGGCTAAGGACCCTGAAGCTGCTTTCTTCAAAAGGGTGGAAGGCCTTCAACCTTGTGAAGTCCGAGAACTAAAAGCTGGCACTCACATATTCGCCGTTTATGGTCTGCACAGTTTTGAAGCTGCTTTTTTGTCCCTTTTCCTTTCGATTTCTGGTACCATTAGTATAATAAAGTTTCTTGTGCAGAAGAGGATTAAAGTCCTTATAACTTGAACTTCTGCCCTGATTTTCACAGGTGATAACTTCTTCAAAACTGCTTCTTACTTCATCGAGACTCTTTGTGCAAAGTCTTACGAGGATACAACACATAAGCTTAAGGACATTGAGGCTCAGATTCTAATGAAGAGAACTGAGCTACGCCAATTTGAGACAGAATACAGAAAGGTAATGGCGCTCGGCTTTCTAGTGATGGCTCTTATTGGTATTTGGCAATACATTTGTGGTTGTATCTTTCACATGTGATGACTTGTAGGCATTTGCGCGCTTTCAAGAAGTGACCAATAGATGCACCCAGGAAAAGCAGTCGGTAAGTTCTATTTATTCAGCCTAGTAATTCTGATCGAATTTTCTGCCTTGATAACATGGCACTAATTTATTTCCTGATCTATCATGCCTGCTTGGAACAGACATTTCCTGTAACAACCTAAATGATGCTGGATTTTTGGTTTCTTCATTTTTAAACCATTTTTAAGTACTGAATTCTAATATTGTAAAAGACAATAAACCCAAATGGGGGGTTGGCCTGGTCGCAAGGCCTCAAGTCTTGGAGGTGTGCTCCCTCTAAGGTTCAGGGATCGAAAACTCTTAGGTGCTATCAATTCCTTGGGGCCATCGGACTGGAAGAAAACCCTTGAATTAACCATGGTGCACTTGTTGAAAACTCCTTACCAAGGGCTTGTGCAACCTGAAGATTAGTCAGGCTTTGATCCGGACCCCCCCGATGACAATCAAAAAATATATATATATATATATATATATTGTAAAAGACAATAGGCTGATATTCATACCCTGCTCATTATAGCCCGTAGTTACTTGGATCCTATCTCATCTATACTATTATAATTTATAATAAAGAAACACTAGGGGGTAATCTTAAATTTGGTGAAGATCTGTCGTGCTTAGGTTTTACTCATTAATTAAAGGGTTAAATATATAAAACAAAACTGCATGATTCAGTTTACATAAAAAAGTTTCGTGGCGTCTTTTTGGGCCCTGGCGAGCCCAGTATTTCGAGGGATTCTGCTTTTTTTGCTTGTTACCGATTGGGTGTCAGTTTGTTCTATGTAATAGTTTTTGAGTTAGGTATTTTTGTGTTTTCCTTTTTTTCTTTTTGTTTTTTCAATTTCTCTTGTAAGAGGACGCCTTATCCTCTTTTTTCTTGACCTTGAACCTTAATAAATCTTTGTTTGTTGCTGATAAAAAAAAAGAAAAAGAAAAAGTTTCATGGTATTTTGAGAGTTGGCACTGACAGAGAATAGTATCGAATGTGGATTAGTGGGAAAAGTAGGAATAGGAAAACTTTAGAAAAAGTAAATATTAAAAAAAAAAAAATAGAATTGATATAGTTGACAGACGCAGTAGGTGCGTGCCTCCCTTGTTAATTATAATTATATTTGTGTTTCCATAAAATTTGTGAAACCCATGTTCAAATCATGTTATGCTCCCCTGCAATCTTAAACCATACATAGGCATTTCTGTAATAAGATTGTTTCAGTTTTTGTTTTCGAGATCTTTATTAGACATCGATTTTTGCATCTTTCCCTCTCCTCGTAATTATATCTAGTTCTAGTTACCTTGTTTTCGTCTTATAGTTGCCATTGTCTTGTTCCGGAGAACAGGTTGATGAGCTACTGAAACAGCGAGACACTATCCACTCCTCATTCACCGTAGTCAGGTCAGTTGTTGTCAGTGGTGGGAGCGGCACTCATGTTAGTAATGGAAGTAGTAGTAAAGTTCCCGGTGAGGATTTCAAGGCTGAGAGCCCGGGGGAAGATGGAGGGTCAGATGGGAAGGATAAATCGTCCAAGAAGAAATGGTTCAATCTTAACCTGAAAGGATCCGATAAAAAATTTGGTTAAGACTTGAAAGAGAGTGCTTAGATATTCATTATATTGTTTGAGAACACTTGGGCCACCAGCTTGCTTGCCTGCTAGAGGTATTACTTGTTTGATTTATTATATCTTCGTTGTGGATTCCCTGGGGTTGTTCTTCTTAACAGTTTGTTGTAGTTGATTTCTTCAAACATAGTGAAAGATGTGTGTATCAATATCTGTGTTTTTTTTTTTTTTTGAAATGAATTGCTTGTCAAGCTCTTCAAGTTCATGTAGCAGGTAGAACAGATTTTTGATACGGTGATAATAGAACAGATTTTTATGATTAATTTGATTCTATACCTAATAAAGTTTTGCTTCAATATGGGATGTTTATTTTTTCAAGTTGTTTCCTTTTCTTTTTTTTTTGAGAAAAGTTTCAAGTTGTATCTTTTTTTTTTTTTTTCTTTTTTTTTTGTTTCTTTAATTTACTTTGGTCCCTAAATAGTCCTACCTTTTCTCATTGTAACTTTTGGGTTAAATACAACTAATTTTCAAAGTATGCATCTTATGTCATTTTAGTTATCGATATTTCAAATAAGTCAATTTGATTCCCAATTTATTAATTTTGTCAAATGGTCCCTACTTCCCGTTTCTGTCTAGAATTGATAACGGAAGTAAGGACATTTGCATCAAATCGCATAGCACAGGGGCAAAATGAGGAGAAAAATATAGTTTCCAATGTATCTGATTTATTTTAATTTGGTCTATGATGTTTTTATTATTTTAATTGTGTCAATTTAGTTCTCAACTTATTCGGTCATAGGTAAATTTGTAGTTCTCAATTTATTTGGTTATAGGTGAGTTAACGAAAATACTCTTTTGTTATCAATGGTAGAAGAAATAGGAGGTAGCGATTGTTAGAATAATATATGATTATTTGGATTATTATTTTGTAATTATTTTATGCCTTAGGGCTTCATTGTAATTATTAATCTTCATTAATATAAATAGGAAATGATATCCTAATCATTACCTAATTTGATATTCTCTAAAATTTACATGGTATCAGAGCTAACCCTAAAACCTAAATTCCTCTAAGCATACAGTACCCACTGGAGCCACCAACCCACTATCGGAGCCAAGCTAGCCGAATCACATTCGGATCATCGTCATTGTTGGCTTCGTTGGCTTCGTTCGTGTCAAGCCTGAGGGGTTTCGGCTCCCCTAGGGTTCGGAACTCACCTTGTGTGATGATCGTGGACCACTGAATCACCCTCGGCTCATCATCTTCGTTGTCAATGCTAGCTTCGTCGACCACTGGGTGACTCAGCCGACAGCTACTCAGCCTTCGTTAACTCAGCTGACTGCCTTGCCCCTTCCGCCATCCTACCTCGCTTCTCTCGACTGCTCGACTCTCCTTCTGCTTCGCTTCTCTTGTCGTATTCCTCTCTCTGTTTGTCTCGTTTCTCCGTCTCTCAACCTTGAGTTGTTTGTTTGTTTATATAACCCAGGCCTGTTTATATAACCCAGCATTGTTTGTTTTATTTTTCTAAAAAAAAGAAAAAAAGAAAAAAAAATAGTATGAGTTGTTAATTCTTTACTGTCATAGTGGTTGTTTTTTTTCCTTCCACCACCACCACCTTCCAGGTTTGTGATTGACACTAGTTTTGTTGCGGGTTCGGTAGTACAGTATCTATGGCAGATTCTACCGATGTGTCCACTACTTCTCAAACGCCTAGGAGTGAGAGTTTACCTATACCTATGTAGACTTCCCCGAACGCCCCGGGAGGATGAGGTCCTGTTCTGTTCGTATTGGGGTTCACTACAGTTCGGACTCAAATTGTCACGGTTCTTAATCTGAACCAAAGAGTCCAAATCCGGCAAATCATTTTGAAAAGGTTTTTGGGTTTTAGTGTATTTCTACTGGGCTGTGGCTCACCCTATATGGAATATCATTTTCAGGTGCAGGTAGCATGCACCATCCAGGAATAGCTGGGAGGCTAGTGGCGGGCATACTTTGTTGCTCAACTTTTGATGTATTACTTGTAAACTAGCCTAGGACTTATGTGTAAACGAGTTAGTACTCTTTTGTTTAACCAAGTGTTAACTTGGAAAGATGTAAGCCCGTAGGGCTTTTTGTTTATGATGTTATCATGTAATACTTATGTAGGAATTCTAAATGAAAAAGGAATGCGGTTAGTTTAAATGTAAATGCATGTCTTATTTGATGGGTTTAATGTTATTATTTTGGGGGCGTTACACATACGCAATGCGATGGCATGGAAATGACATAAGAATGCAATGGACTTATACTAACATGAGAGAGCCTCAGCCACACTCACATAAGAGGCCAATGGATGAACAATGAAGTGCCTCGAAATGCGTGCACACGGCACGCAACGAGGCAATGGATACGCAATGCAATATGGCTAAAATGGATAAGAATGCAACATGGACTTATACTAACATGAGAGAGCTCAGCCACACTCACATAAGAAGCCGGTGAATGAAAATGAAGTGCCTCGAAATGCGTGCACACGGGCACGCAAACCGAGGCAATGGCATACGCAATGCAATATGGCTAAAAGGGCAATATAGAATGCAACATGAACTTATACTACATGAGAGAGCCTCAGCCACACTCAAAAGAGCCGGTGAATTGAAATGAAGTGTCTCGAAATGCGTGCACACGGGCACGAAAACCGAGGGCAATGGCATACACAATGCGATGGCATGGAAATGGCATAAAAACATGCTGATGGGATTTCAGCACTGAAATGTGGGGGAAACAGCCCCGAAATGAGGCGAAAGTACACCCAATGCATGGAATTTCTCCGAAATGCAAATTAGGCGCATAGAATAAACTACAGCTATACAAAGCATGCATAATTGGTACATGGAATGAAAAGACAGAAGCAAGGCAGCCCGAATAAGCATTTTTCCAGTACAAATCATGCCAAACAGTAAGCAAAGATAGGGCAACAATGGCATGCAAAAATGGCCCCAAACATGAGATTCATGAAGCAACTCACAGCTGCTAACTCCAAATAGGTTAGGGCCCTTCACACAACATTGAAGAGGGCCAAAAATAAGACATTTTACAGAACTGTAAAAACCTCAAAAACAAACACAAGTATGCTGCACTCCCATGCAAGAAAAGGGCCAAATGTGGCCAAAAGAGGCAAGTGGATAATGCAAAGCCCAAACTGAAAAATTCCCTTCTACAACATTGAAGAGGGACCAAAAATATGACTATTTACAGAACTGTAAAAACCTCAAAAACAAACACAAGTATGGCTGCACTCCATGCAAGAAAAAGGGCCAAAAGGTGGCCAAAGAGGCAAGTGGTATATGCAAAGCCCAAACTGAAAAATTCCCTTCTACACATTGAAGAGGGACAAAAAATATGCATATTTTCAGAACTGTAAAATGACCAAAACAGTATACAAACATGCTAGAAATGCAATGCAAAATGAGGCTCAAAGTGGCTATAAACACAAAGTGTACAAAATATTCATCAAACAGCCAAAGGCCTTAATGAAACATGTTTAGAGAAGTCAAAATAGGCGCATAGAATAAACTACACGCTATACAAAGCATGCATAATTGGTACATGGAATGAAAAGACAGAAGCAAGGCAGCCCCGAAATAAGCATTTTTCCAGTACAAATCATGGCCAAACAGTAGCAAAGATAGGGCAACAATGGCATGCAAAAATGGCCCCAAACCTGAGATTATGAAGCAACTCACAGCTGCTACTCCAAATAGGTTAGGCCTTCAACAACATTGAAGAGGGCCAAAAATAGACATTTTACAGAACTGTAAAAACCTCAAAAACAAACACAAGTATGGCTGCACTCCCATGCAAGAAAAAGGGCCAAAATGTGGCCAAAGAGGCAAGTGTATTGCAAAGCCCAAACTGAAAAATTCCCTTCTACAACATTGAAGAGGGACCAAAATATGACTATTTACAGAACTGTAAAAACCTCAAAAACAAACACAAGTATGGCTGCACTCCATGCAAAGAAAAGGGCCAAAAGGTGGCCAAAGAGGCAAGTGGTATATGCAAAGCCCAAACTGAAAAATTCCCTTCTACAACATTGAAGAGGGACAAAAATATGCATATTTACAGAACTGTAAAATGACCAAAACAGTATACAAACATGCTAGAAATGCAATGCAAAATGAGGCTCAAAAGTGGCATATAACACAAAGTGTACAAAATATTCATCAAACAGCCAAAGGCCCTTAATGAAACATGTTAGAAGGTCAAAATAAGACTATTTCTAGGCCTGTAAAAAGACCAAAAACAGAAGCATGATAGGGCTGCAAGCATGCAACAAAATAGCATTCAAGAGGATATTGAAGCAAGTGCAATATGGAGGGTCAAACCGGGTTGAGCCCTTAATGAAACAAGAAAATGAGCTCAAAAAATGACCTTTTCAGTTTTGGTCGAGCTCAAATCAATAAGCATGTATGGCTTACAAAGGTGCAAGAAATGGACCAAAAAGGGGGAAATGCTACTCACCCTGAAAACCAATGCTTTTGTTGCTTCTTAGACCAACTTTGATGACTTTAAGCTGCTGGAATCCTCCCCTTGCTGCTGGAATGGAGGGGTGGTGGTAGAGCTTGATGATATGAGAAATGAGGTGTAGAACTTGATATTTTTGAGAAAATGAGAGAGATAGAGGGAGAGTTGTATGTAAGCTTCAAAGCAATTTTTTCCAACCCCTAAACATTTGTTGGCAGCTGGCTATATGGAACAAAAAGAGGGTGTAAAAGGTGGGGAAAAAGGAGGCAAGCTTTCCCCCACAAAATATCCCCCGGATTGGGATATTTTTTGGGGAAACAGCTATACAGCTGTAAAGTGTGCAGAGAGAGAACATGGCCGGCCAATTATTGGACTTGGATGTGGCCGGCCGGCCACCCCCCCTAGCCGGCCGGCAAAGGGTCAAAAGGCCAAGTGGCTTTAGTGGCCGGCCACCACATATGGTGGCCTCCCAGGTCCCCTCGTCACAACCTGTGGTTCGAATTTGTAAACTCTAAAACAGGAGAGAGAATAAGCCATTTTGAGGAGGGGTT